ATTTTTACAACGCGTTATTGCTTTTTTTACATTATACTTTTATTTTTATATAAAACTTAACTTAAAAAGTATTAACTCGAATATTTTTGGTAACCACTACACATAAATGGTTTTAACTGAATATATATATATATTTCAAAATTATAATACAATACAAAACAGATTTACTTTTTTCCACTCATTTTTTGCTACTTTTTTTTTAATTTGATGGTGTTATTTATCTTTTATATGTAAACAATAAAAATTATTAATAATATTATCGAAAGATTAAAATACATTTTTTATAATTTTTTTACTATTGTATTAAGAAATAAATTTAAATTAATTATAAAATATTCACGTTTTCTTTATTTCAAACAATAATACAAATTGTACAAATTTGTAATAATAAATTTAAAGCACAATTTATTTTATAATTCGAGTTTTATATTTATAATAAAAATACATAGTGACAGGGTCATAAGTTAATTAAAGTTACCAATTTTTGACAGTTCGTTTCATTGATAGACATCATGATGGCGACGAATTTGTGGGCGTATGTGCCTCCTCTTTTGGATGCTGTGCTGTTTCATTGGTCCAGCCAGCATGATGGGCGGACACAAATTCTTGGGTAAAGTACTAGTGTTGTAGTTGCCAGATAGACAAACTTTATCAGGATCATTAGTGGTGAGCGCGTGCCTGGCACAAATGTAACAACGAACTCTTGGAAATCGATCATAATCCAACCTTTTTGATTTGAGGTGTTATTACTTAGTTTTAAATTTTATTTTGTGAATGAGAATCATATTGAATTTGATGTATATGACTTTTTCCATTTTCTTTCCCTCTCTTTTGAAAACAAGTGAATGTGTAAAGAGTTCTTGGATACTATAAAAAATGTGGATATCAAGCGATCATTAGATTATTTTTTTTAAATGTACGAATTCGGAAAGTTACAACGTCAAAACAATTGATGGAATTTAATAAAGGTAAGGTACTTTATATTTTTTGTTTGACGAAAAATTGTATTCATAAATACACCTACCATAGAATATTGACGTATTGACAAAATTTTTAAGCTACAATATATAAAAAGTACTGCAAAAAATCTTTTAAAATATCAATTTTCCAAATATTTTTTATTTAAAATAATGATATTAAATACTGTTTATTTTAGATTTTAATGATATGATAATTTACATATTTGAATCATTTGTAATTATACTTCAATATTACGTATTCATATTTTCTATTAAAAAGATATTGGAAATAAGGATTATAATTAAAGCTTTTTTTATTTTTATAAAATATTAATATGTATACAAAAGCTATTGCCATCAAATGACTTTAAAAAATATATAATATAAAATTATTTAAATTAGCTGTTTGAAACATCTAATTTTCATACTGAATATAACAATTCAAAATTTACGTATATTTTGACATTTTACATTTAACATTTAAATTGGCAACAGAGTATTAATTAATATTATATTAAAATAATCTTATTGGGTACCATTACAATAATATTAAATAATTTTATTATTAAATTATTACAAAGCTTCTAAGTCTGTATAAGTAGATTAGTCTACAAATATATATTGTTATATAGATATTTGTAACAGTACTTCATGCATTTTATGATTTTACAATTTATAATAATAAAGTAAAATAATTGTCAATTGCTATTAATTTTAAAATAACAAAAACTGATAATTTGGTATAAATCAATTATAGATAATATTACAAATTTATTAAACTAGTAATCGGATTATATGAATTATATTTCTAAAAGTTACTTACCTTAAACAACTAGTTATCAAGTCATTATTGTAATAATTCGTGTTGTTCAATTATAATTATATTATAATTATAGAAAAATTATCTGTACAAAAAATTAGATTTTAGACAAAACTAATGTTTTACATTTCTATGTTTTTATACTTAAAAAGAACGTTATATGCAGTTACTAAATAATGTACGACTACTTAAAGCAATGTAATAAGAAAACAGTAAGGGCACTGACATTGGAAATCGAAACTGACAATTTACAAGTCTCTAAGGAATATCTTTTCAAAATTATAGAGATTTTGTTAAGTGAGTAGGGAAACAGACAAGGGTTTTTCTTCATTTTTCATGATGCAGGAAATATATTATTTACATATGATTAACTTAAAACTTCTATAAAATAAGGATTAATATAAATAATTATAGTATAATGACAATACTTGAACTAGAGCTATTAGAGATATTATTAAAATATTTTTTGAGAATAAAAACTTTTTTCCTTTCTTTTTTTTGTTTTAGTAATAAACCCATTTTTTGTATAACAATTCTAATTAGTATTATCAATTATTGCAATAGAATTTTGGGTATAAAACAAGTCTTTACAGATTTGTCTAACTTATTTGTCAATTATAAAAAGACATAATCAATTTCGTTATTGTATTTTAGATTTACTTTTATATTGAAATTTAAAGTCATCAGAAAATAAATTTTAAAAAAGAATTGTTAATTTTAATTACGTCTAAGTTAATCTATTAACTTATTAATATTACTTTATAAAATTATAGTTATATATATATATATATATATATATATATATATATATATTCAATTAAATATCTAATAAGGATTTGAATTATAAAAAATTAATAATTGAAAAGTTAACAAAGTTACAAATATTTAATTAAATTTGTTAAATTCAATTTAATTCGGTAAATTTTATTCTAAATTTCAATTTTATAAAATTTAATTTGTATTTTTGGGTTGAATGTAATTAAAGTTGATCACAAAACCAATTTATATTCTTTATAAATTATTGTTAAAATATTTTTATTTATCGTATTTTTAAATTTAAACACTTTTAAAATCGCTTAAATTTTAAATTTAAGCAATTATGATTTTCATTATACAAACTATGTTTAATGTCTACAATAAAAAAAAAAAGTACTATGAAAACGACTATTTTACTATTTTCAAATTAACTATATAATCATGTTTTTATACTGAATAAATGCTTAATGTTTTTTAATCTTACATAATTTCAACTTAAATGCAATATATCTTCTAAAGTATTTTCACTCAGATGCCATTAAGACAGTTTATTCCATAATTTAGCATGAACTCCTTATCCCTGCATATATTTCAGTGCTTCCTAAATATAATGAATACAATCCACTTTTTGATATCCTTGACATAATAATGTATTATGAATAATTTAGTGATAAATAAGCCTTGATAATTCTATTGATCATACCGATTTTTGTTCCTATTTTCCTTTTTTTAAATTGCTGAGTATATTGGACATCAATTAAATAGGCTTTTTGTTACAATATTTGTCTCTATTATATATTTGATGAAATTGATCTGATATAAATAATTATTAATATTGAAGATGTAATATGTTGAATAGATATGGTAATTCAGTTTAGATTGCTGTTGTTATAGCTTATTACAACAAATTATCAGTTTCTATTTATAAACAGTTCTAAATATGATTCTGGACATCATTCTTTAAAAGAATTTGACTTGAGAAATACTTTTTCTTCTGTCAAATCAAATATAAAAACAATTTAAATAGCAATTATGAAATAAATAGCTCTTCAATCGATATTGTAACGAGACAATTTCAAATCATAGTTATTAACTTTAAAAAGTAGATGCTAATTAAAAATTGTAATAATAATCATCAGAAATTAGAAATTTAATTTTTCAGAGAAAGAGATTTCCTAAAACTAGAACTTCAGATTTTCTGTCGCTAGATAAAAAAACTAGAACATATCAGCATCTATACCGTTAAATGAAATAATTATTAGAGTAATTTTATTATAAACTCTGTCGCTACCAAGAATATCAGTGTTGAGAACTATGATTATTGATATATTTCTATAGTTAAACTGCACAAACATTATTTAATACTTAGCTATTGCCCTAGTTAATAATGCTGTTCTGTCTAGCTGTTTGACTGTTATTATTTTTGATACTTCAACTATTATTGTCGAAACCTTATAATTCTTCTTGATGACAGATTTAGTGGCAGTATGTTGCTATAACATCTATAGATATTGTATGATTTTATTTTTCTTGATGTTTATCAAATGGAAGTAGACTCGATGAATTTGTCTATAAGAGTTGACAGTTATAATATAAATTTTTTACAACGAATATACCAAAGGTTTCAACTTTAGATTCTATTTACAAAGAATTTGTTATAAAATTGTAAATAATTAGTCATTTTTTATTTCTGAAACTCTATGTTAACTATTTCTTAATTTAAAGATCTTATTTCGAAAGTTAATAAAATTACTAAATGAATTATTTATCAATTTGTGTTATTTCTATAATTTTTAGTATTGATATACGTTAAATACAATGTAATTAAATAATAATAATGTAAGAAAATTATACAATAATTTATAATATTCATGTTACTTTTTCATTAAAATAATTAATTTGCACACTAAATAAAAATAAAATTTGTAACCTAAATATATACCTTCATAAAACTTTCGACACATATTAAGACAACGATGCATTCACTTCATATTACCTTTTATTAGGCGTTTATTTATTTTGAAAAACATTTTATTTGAGGGATATTAAATTATTGTATTGAAAATAAATATAAAATACAGCAATATCATTATGTATTATCAACTTTTGCTTAGCACATGATTAATGAAAAAGAAACTCTTCGTGCTTTCTGTCAGTTACAACATAAATCTTCAGTCTCTTAAATTTGTTAAACATGAAAAATTATTTAAAAATTTCATATATATATAATATAAAGGAATTCATACTTGAAATTACAAAAAATTGCACTGAAGATTTACGTTTATACAAATTAAATAAACTATATTTAAAAATATAATGAAAGAAAATTTGTAATAATTGATTGATTTGAATGAAATTAAATCACAGAGATTTTCTAATAAATTAAAAATTTTTATGAATATTTCATCTGATTTTATAAAAATATATGTTATAATGTAGATTAAATTTATTATTTCAGAAATAAATAAAATACAATGGCAAACAGGGGACATAATATAGTGGCGAGCTTAAGTGTCGGTACAGGAAATTTATCAAGAGAGGAAAGACGCCGACGTCGACGAGCCACGCAAAAGTATAGAACCGCCCATGCAACAAGGTGATAAAGATAATTTTTTTGTTTACCAATACTTAGTGGTTATTTATTAATTATATACATACACACACACATACACACACATATATATATTCATTTTAAAATATAATATATAGTGTATATATATTATGAATTTTCTATATTATATACTAGTATATTATACATAATTCGTATACTATATTTCATAAAATTTTCATAAATATTGACGCTAATTTAAATTTTTTATTGTTTAAACTAATATAGCCCTTTTTAATAAAGTATTATTAGAACATATATTTTATTAAAAATATTTAATTTATTCGAAATACTTTTACGCATTTAACTAAAAATCATAAGAAATAACAAACATTATGAATAAGTTTACTAGTATATAAATAATCGATGAATTTATATTTGTATAATTTCGAGTTGAAGCATTTAATCTGGCATTTACTGAATTACGAAAGCTCCTACCAACGTTGCCTCCCGACAAGAAACTTTCAAAAATTGAGATATTACGACTGGCTATTTGCTACATCGCGTACCTGAATAATGTTCTCGAAGCATAATTTTATCCAGTTAACACCATTTTCTAAAGATGATAAATTAATTTAAAGTTCCTGACATTATAACAATGCAACGAGGATAAAAAATATAGATAATCCAATGAAAAATTTATGTAAATATGCTAATGATAACAAATTTCCTTTACTTAAGTTAAAATAAATCAATATCTTACTATTATAGAGTTAAGAACAAAATATATAGTTAATAACAAACTAATATTTAACTAAAATTTGATTAATAATATATATCGTATTTACTAAATTATATAATTTTTTCATTTGATTATTCAATTATTTATTGTAATTTAATAAATAAATATGTAGAATTATAAAATTATATTATTATATTATCAAATTAATTATAAAAAGTAATATTTCAAAAATTATTCAACACAAAAAATATTATTATATTAAATATGAAACATGCTTTTGCTTAACAATGTTTTGTTTCTCTTAATTATTTTATAAAAAAAATCGATAAAACTAAATAAGATTTATTTATAATGTTAAAATATTTATATTTTTGAGTTTTTAATAGTATGCTTATAATTGACATTATAAGATAAATTTTTTCCATATTTTAAATATTTTTTTAATAATAATAATTTTGTAATTAGTATTGTTTGAAAATAATAAATATCATCTTATTCATAAACTAATTGAAATAAATGTCATAAATGAAATTAAGAATGTTTATTATTTGAAAACTTTATGTGCAAGTAAAATGTTATTGAAATTGATTTTATATTCTATTATTTTATATACTTCTATTGAATGATTTAAATTACTCCAATAGGAAATTAAAAATTATATATGCTAGTAACTGAATAAAATAGTCTGCTTTTAATTAAGATTCTTTTCTACTTTGTTTTCTACATTATTTGTATATTCAAAATTACATATTTTTACGTGCAACAAATGCAAGCATCTAAGTATATTTGCTTTTATTCAACACTACAATTTAAAATTGAGATATAATTATTATGTTAATATTTTCTATATTAATCTAAGGCTATGTCGACTAAGAATATACTCGATAAAGAAAAATAAGATGGAGTTGAATGAATTTTTCAATGGTAAATTAATTAGAAAATACATGTTGTAAACTCCGATTATTCACATAACTCTTAAATCCTATTTTCAAGTTCAATAAAAAAGACAGTCAGAGACTAACAGAAAAGAGAACAAGCAGACAAAAGCAGACAGACAGACATACATACAAACAAACAGCTAGACAGCCAGATAAATAAATAGATAAATATAAGAGGAGGAGTATAATCAATGATGGAGTGGAAAAAGGGAATATAGCACATCTGAATCCCATGGGACCACTCGAACAGGGTTCTAAGTGAAAAAGAATGGGATTACCGGAAGGCAACTTCACGGGTCGGCACCGATCAGTTTCAAAGACAAGATTCATTTGGCAATCGATTTCGTCTGTCCCCACGTATTCTTACATCTAATTATCTACTACGCTTTATCGTCTATTTCTATATATCTATACTGAGCAATAAACGATAAGTGATAAATTGATTACGTATTTATTATTATTACGTAGACAAATTCTTCAAAATGTTAAATATAATGGTACTTTAAAACAGATTAAGTTAAGTTTACGATACAAGATATATTTTCAATATTAATTAGTTACCAGAGATAAAATTATTCAGAAAGTTATTAAACATTTTATTAGAAAAATAATTAAAGATTAATTTATTGATGGTATTAATCGTTTATAAGCATATTATAAAAAAGCGTATACATGATTAATAAGTTATTATTATTTTTTATCATTTCTTTAAATTTCTTCAGAAATTTCTTTAAATCTCCTTTTTAACCATTTTTTATGAATTTTATGCCTACATGAGAATATATGCAACTATTCAAATGGTTGCTAGCAAAATAGAAATTTCTAACACGATTTTTAGATTCCAAATTAATTTATAAATATAGTTTAAATTAGCACACATGCGCACATATACACATGACTTTATACAATTGTTTTATATTCAATTTTATCTCTGAAATAAATGTTTAGTCTTGACAATATTATATAAGACTAGAACTATGAAGAATAGAAAGAAGATAAGAAATTATCGAATATTTAAGTGGAATCACATATTTACAAAATAATTTTTTCTATCGTATGTATTAAAAATCAAAATATACTCTTAAGTATATTATTTAATATCAACTATAATGTTTTTACAAAATATATAATCTTTATCAATATATAAGTTTAATGCAGGATTTCTACGAACTTAAATTCTTGATTTATTTAGTTAATATACTTTTTTATATTAAATATTACAACTACAATAAAAACTAAATTCATATGCAAATAATTGATGTAAACATTATTATCCATAAAAATATATAATTTTATTCTATTTTTAATATTACAACAAACAAAAAAATATTTTATATTATACGTGTCGGTTATTTAAAAAAATAATAAAAATAATTATTTCTGCTTCCAAACCCAATTCAATATATCAATTGTTTCTGTTAGAAAATAATCTTGTAATTTTTGTTTCATTTATGTTGTTCTCACTAAATAAATTTATAAAATAATTATAAAACGCGATAGATATATCAAATAAAATGTTAGTTTTTAAATAAAAAGAGTTTATTAACATACATGAGAAACTTATTAAGATAAGCTCGTCTTTAAATTACAATAGCTACAACTATAGCCAAAAGCGAGAGAGAGAGACTGTGTTCAAAAATGTTAGAATTAGTTAAATGTTTAAATTGATAATAAAAATAATGACGGATGTGCCAAGGATTATTTTGTATCATTTTAATAGCAATATGTAGTTGGTTGAAAAATAACAATTTGTAATGGTGCTTTATCGAAATAAAGACATTGTATTAATTTTTTATGTAGTAACTTCAAACAAGTCTTTTAAAATTCTTGTATTAAAAATTTTTTATTAAGGATTTATTTTTATAAAATAGAATTTATTAAATAGTAAATTCAAAAATATTTTTATAAGGCAATTCTAGTTTTAAATCAAATGTTTTCAATATTATAAAAACGAAATATTTTATGTAATGAATTAAATATTATTATGATATGAAATTAATTTTAAGTTAAATTTAAATAATTTTTTATTGTGCATCAAAATCAAAACAATTAATAAAATGAATATACAAATTTATAACAAGTTATTTTATATATTTGGCTTCATTAATTTTTTTATTAATCAACATCTATAAGTATTTTAATAAAATTTAAATAATATTTTTCATGTATTTATCTTCATATCTATATATTCAGTATTTTTAATTTACTAAATATAGCATTGGAAGATTTAAATCAATATAATACATGTTTATTCAGCATATTTGTACATGTTCATTTGAACTAAATCGCTGCAAAGTATATTATAGATAATTATACAAAGATATAAGATTGTATGATCGAACATGCAAAGTTGAAATTAAGTAATAAACAAAACCACTTTTTTATAAATGCTAGATCATGAAATATTTTTCAATTACCTTAACATAAAGTTTTTTCTTTTTACATTTTGCATCTTAACATACTGTAAATTCTTTAGTTCAATTTCTAAGAGCGAGTTTCAATATATCTATGTAGAATGTAATTAATATCTAGTATTTTTTATTTAAATAACCTAAACATTCTTATAGAAACTTTTGAAATATTTTAATAGACAAAGAACACAGGTAACAGAAATTAAATTATTGATTTCAGTGAATCTAATAACTATTGATTCACAAATTAAATTATTTTCATTCTAAAATATTATTAAGTACGGTTTTAATTATAAATTACAAAGAAAACTGAGTTACCTTGTTGACTAGAAAATAAAGAATAATTGAATGTTATTTCAGATAGATAAACTAAAGATAACTGTATTATTGACATTAGAACATTGTTTTGATAATATTTTTTAACTAATTCTTTAAACTAATGAACAATTTTCGAAAAAATTAATAAAAAAATTTTTTTCGAATATAATTCGATATAATTTATTTAATTTCTTATTTACAATGTATAATTAAAACAATAATTTTCACATACTAATTAAAGTTATATAATAAGTTATAATAGTTTATAAATATTAATAAAGAATTACCAAAATAGAAAAACAGAATGATTAAATGGATCAATAGTATAATATCCAGGACTGTAACCAACATGGCAGCTACTTTCTGTCCAATATTTTGGCTTAATGGAGTCTTGGGTTTAACAATATTTGAAATGCCATCTGAAAATCCCTGGATGAAATTAAGCATATTTTATGCTATGGGGCGATCTATTATTTATGGAATTTTAGTTTGGTATAATGTATTTCTTATACCACCTAAGCAATATAGTAACTCCATTATAACACGAGTATATCAAGTTATCCTTTTTTTCAATATTAGTATAGCTGCCGTTTCAACTATTTTAGGATTAATCAATTATAAGGTGATATTTGTTTTTTACAATGCAAAAATCTTAAAATATTAAATATTTTGTAACTTTAAGCATCAATAAATATTCTATTTATTCTAGTTTAAATAATTAAATTAAATAATAATATACAGCTCATTCAATATTAAAATAACTAATTAATAATCTTAATCATATTCATTATTATCAATATTAATTTATATTTTATTATTATGTAAGAAAATAAAAAGATTTTTTAAAAAGATAACTTTGGTGGATGAAACAATGAAGATCTTTGGAATAAATCCAGAATATGTATTAACATTTAAAGAAAATATACAAATAGTGGTTTTTTGGTGTTTTGGAGGACTGATTATATTTAGCAGTGATCTAGCAGTAGCTTATTACGTTTTTCATAATATTTATTATGTTCTCACAAATGTTATTGTATTTGAATATCCACTTTTAATAAATACCGTTGTCGAATTGAACTTTGCAGTAAAAATATCGTGAGTATTATAATATTTATTGCAATATTTTGTATTATAGTATGTATTATTTTATACAGTAATCAATAATATTTTAAAGTTTTAACAATAAAATATTTTTTGCTTGGCCAGCATTTTGAAAATTATATTAAGTTAGTAAATTGGTCGATTTAAATTCAAAATATTTGAGCAAATTAATTTGATGTCGTTAACATTATATTAAGTGGTATAATAAAAAAATATTTTTACTTAATTTTTATAAAATAAGTTAACAATCAATATCTTTTTAAATGTTTTATTATTTACTATAAGCACATGTAAAAAAGGAAATTAAATTCATTTATTTATAATTTTAATAAGGGTAAAAAAGATTTGTTTTAACATTTATTTGATAGTTTATATATTTATTATTAATCAATTTGATCAATAATGGCACTCCTAATAAATTTTTATCACATTTTTAAGTATATTAGGAAAGAGATTTGAACGATTGAATGCGCTAATCCAAAGTTTAACTACAAATTCATTAGGATCTATGAATTCAAGAGATTATAATAAATATCAACGTATTTTGAAACACAATCAAGCTATGAAATCTAAGCAATATATAAAAACTAGACATAATATTCAACTTTTTTTAAAAACTGTCAGGTATTTAGTTATACTTTCATTTCATTTAAATTCTCTTATTACGTAAGTAAAAATATATCACTTATATCTAAACATACATACATATATAGGCGTGCACATAAATATTAATTTAGCGCATACATATAACTGCATTTAATATATTATGATTGCGTACAATAAAGTAAAATCTTAAAAAAAATATTTTATGAAATTATACTTTATTTATCCAAAGTTAAAATGAACCATATATACCTTATATATATATTAACATGCATATATATATTTATTATATATATACAATTTATATATATTATATACAATTTATTATAATTTGAAATATAAATTAAATTTATAAATAATATGTATGTATGCAATATATGTATTTTAAAATTAATGGGTGTCTACAAAATATATAAATGTATTATGATGATTTGGCTTTATAAAACAAAAAAATAATTGCATGCTTTGAATATATTAAGTAACTATATTTAAATATTAATACTATTTCTCTCTCTCTTCCTCTCTCTAAATGCTTTTTTTCTTTATTAACATTATATTTATAGCAATATTTTAATATTTTAAAGTCCAATATCGAATATAAATATAAAATTAATTTTATTTTCAAAAAGTACTAATTATTATTTTCTTTAATAAATATAACAATTGAATATTAGAACAATAAATATATCCTGTACTCAAATGTATAATAATGAGATATTTATAGTTGATATTTTTTTAATTAATTACTATAAAGTATTTGATAATATAATTTATTCGTTAAGACAACTTCATTTGGATTTGTGTGCAACTTCCCGTGAAGTAAATGACATTTATAGAATACAACTATCTAGTCAAATGGCAGCTACGTTCATACTGTTGACTGGATTCAGCTACTGTTTTTATCTTGTATATAATGAATTGTCAATACCTTTATCTTATACAATACAATATTACACATCATTTGGAATCTGGATAATTATTAGTATATCTAGAATAATTCATGTCGTTCGAACATCTGTACAAGTTACTACGGAGGTTCATATATGGATGTATATTCTATGACCTTCCATACAGAATGTTAATATTTTGTTAATAAATATTATTTTAGGCCCAAAAGACAAGTCAAATAGCACATGAAATTCAAGTATCACAATTAAAAAAAAAATTAATAAATGAGGTGAAAATAAGAAAAAAATCTAGTTATTTATCAAAATAAAGTAGTTATTAAACTTTTGAAATACAAGTATTTGCTGCTTTCATATTTAGATGATATTTTTATAGATTCATCAGCTTTCTCTGCAAATAATGCAACACCCCCTGTGTTTTACTGCTTCAGGTTTAATTATATTAGATTTTGGATGTATACGTGGGGTTAGTGAAATTGCTATATGTTTACTTATTTTTGTTTAAAATTATAAAAAATTAATTTGCATGAATTAATATGAATGATATTAGTAAAATGGATTTTTGTTTATTTAGGTTGTTGGATCCGTAACGACGTACTTAATGATTTTAATACAAAATGAACCAGACATGATGAAAGTAGTTACTATGCCCATCGAAAATTATACTACATTTAATATAAACTCATCGATTTATTTAATAGAATAATTAAAATTTCATAAGCTAAATATTTATCAAAATGTGTAAATTTCATATAATATAAAATATGTAAATCCATTTTATTTAAAATATTTAAAATATTTAAAATTTACTTAAAAATTAAACACTGAGTTTTTTACTTTAATATTTAAATTAATAAATAAGTAAGAATTATTGGATTTGTAATTATAATTTATAGTATCAAAAACATTTTTTATTATCAATGATATTTTAATTTTTAAAAGAAAATAAATTGAAAAATGTAGTTTTATAATATTTTGAATTCTTACATCAATATTTTTAAATATTTTGAAAATATGTTTACTTTGTTAAAAAGTATGTATCTAAATTCTGAAATGTATTTGTTTCCAAATCCTATCAAAAAGAAGATAAAAATGTATTTTCAATTATTATGATAGTAACATTTATGGATGTTTTATAAAGCAAGATCATATTATTGGCTTAATATTTAAAATTATTTCGAAAAGTACTTGCAATTAAAATGAATAAATATGCTTGAACCTTTCAATTTTATGTTTATTATTGATATTTTTTCTAAATATAGTTAAAAAGAAATTTTTAATATTTATAATATTGATTTAAATAAAATTATATTTTTAATAATAATCTACATAAATAGTATAATTTATAATTTTTTAATTATTTTAATTTAATTTATTCTTTTTAAACTTATTCATTATTTAAATATTAAATAATTAATACAATACTAAATTTTATTAAACTATAAATAAGTATGTAACAAAACTTGTTACTTTTTAATTTTTGTCTGAAAGTAAACTAACTTTCTTTCTTACACTACAATTAAATCATTACAATTTTAATAGATAATGATTTTATATATAAGTTTAAGTATCGAACCACATATCGCACAAAGAATAAAAAAATTATAAATTATTTTTATCTGTTTAATAAAATGAAAATTTTATAAATTTTAAATAAAATTCATTTTAAAGAAATCAATCGTTTTTTAATCGAACTATTATACAAATTAAAATATGCTATATGAACAATATCCAATATTTTTTTAACTATTTTTTATATATACTTTTTTTTTTAATTAAACAAAATTAATTTGAATAATAGCATAAAACAAATTTATACAATACAATGATTTTACAGTTATATTAGATAAGTAGTTAATACTATTGTTGCTATGTAGAATATATATTCTGATTGATATCATATAATTATAGTTTAACATTTGATTTGATCAAATAATTATAGTTTAAAACTTTTCTAATTGTTGTCCCACTGCATATGGAATTAATTCTTACAGTAGTAGTAAAAAGAAAAATCTGTTCGTTATTGAAACATTAAAAGATTTTATTATATTATATTATAATTCACCATATAAAGTTTATTATATTATATTATAAATAAACATCATAGATTATATTATATAATAAAAAGATAATTTGTATTTAAAAATAATATTTGAAAGATTTTAACAATATTTCTAATTTTTGAAGTGGACTCAATTATCTTGAAATTTTAATCAGTTCAAAGTTTTTGTCTTATTAACAACTATTTATAGATATTATATCTGATCATTATTTATTTAATCTCATTAACAATTTATTGTAATTTATATATTCCAATTAGTATCAATAACTTATTCTAAATAGTAAATAATGAAATTCAGATAAAATATGTAATTACTTCTTTACATGAATATACATTTTTCCATTATGTTAGTAAATATGGCACTATTAAATCATATTTCAATGAAATCAAATCATATTAGTTAATAATTGATATCCTATGTCATATTTGTTGTGCGTCCTCCTCTATATAAATAGGAGAAGTGGAGCACAATAAGTATTAACTTTAAAGCAGAATCATATAGCTTATAGTATTTTCTCTAATTATTTCAAAATGTGTGTTCACATAACAATTAATTATCATATAATAGATATGAAAGCCATAAATCATAAATTGTTTTAGTAAATTGGTCTAAAATTGTTAATTTTATTGATTTATATTAAACAAAATATAATTTATTTTCAACTATTGAAATAATAGTTTTTAATGATTGTTATAATAGTGTTAATTTTATTTAATAATATATAATTGTATAATAAAGATTTAAATTTTATTAATTTTAATTTTCAATTGAGGTATAAATTAAAATTCGTATGTTATTCATATCGTATTCATCTAATATAATGATGAACATGTAATTTATGATGTATAATTATTTATATTGCAGTAAATGTATGATATTATACAAAAACATTCTAGATGGTATTATAGTATAAATAAAATTAATTACGCCTGTCTGTTTCAAAAAATTACACACCGATTGATTTTTTAATTTAATATTCAATTTTTCTCTAATACTTTTTTAAGTTTATATACAAATATTTTATTAATATCGTTGTATTAATTGATGTGCCAGTTATTGATATCCATAAATATTCAATATATAAAACATATTACAATTTTTAATTAAAAATGTAATTATACATATTTTAATATTTTTGTTAAATTATATTTGAGTATCAACAAGAAAAATTTATCACATCTGATTATTAAAAAAAATTAATATGTATATGAAAAAAAACACATAAGTGAAGTAAATTCATATTATGTTTAAATAATATTTTAATGTATTAAATAAAAATTTACTTTTACTGCAATTTACTTATTAAGAAAATTAGTTTCATTTATTAAAAATCATATATATGTATAGCCTAAAATATTCTCACTTACCTTAGAAGAATTTAATAACACACTTTACTTATAACTAAATACATGTTTTTCTAAATATGATCATTAAATGTAAAATTTATCTAAGAATAAAATTTAAGCTTTAATAAAAATATAATATAATGTATTCTAAATTGGTTAAAGACTATTTTTAATTATTACAATTAAGATTATGTCATTTTCAGTTTCTTCAATTATTATTTTATTTTTTTCAAAAAATAATTTGTTATTGTAAAAGATTTTATTATAAAAACGGTTAAACGAATGGAATATCCTAGCTATATGGAACAGACGAAATTATATTTTTATTCTGGGATTTGCATAAATGTTTTTATTATTAATAGAATTTTTAGATGATATTAATAGAAACTTAAAAAAATTTTTAACAAAAATTGGTAAAAGAATTATTAAAGCTAATTAAAACCATTAATTTGCAGAATAATCATGATAATTCGTAACAGTGAATTCCCGAAATCTCTTAAACAAGAATGGAATTAATATTCCATTCTTTGTGTATATAATATGTTTTTATATTAATTTATCCATATTCATTGCCTTTTGTTGTTCGTCACACCCACACATATATTGTTATTGTATTGTATTGTTATTGTATTGTATTGTATTGTATTGTATTGTATTATATTGTATTGTATTGTATTGTATTGTATTGTATAAAATTATATTGTAGCATAATTTAAAAAATTTTATGCTCTAATCCTTATATTTTTTATTTATATATCTTTTAAATCTAAACATAACTGATTTTAATGAAATGAAAGTTTAAATTAATATTTTTATCTATAAGTATTGTCAAACAATTATTCTTACTAAAAATATGTTTAACTCAATCTAATAAAAACCGTTACTGCTCACTAATGAATCAAACAAGTATCTCACAGAATATTGTGAGAAGATTTTTTAACAAAATTTAATTGTTAATATTTAAAGCTATACAGTTGATAATTACTAAAATAAATAAAAACGTTTAACTTTAACCAATACCACGTAAAACTACTTATTTCACAATAATTTTATAGTTGTACACAAAATTTCAATGTGTTCAAAAACTGTAATAAATTTGTTTTATCGATTAAGACAGTGTAGTCGCGGTCTTCCCATATAGCTCGACTTGAGTTCTATTCTGTAATCAGTAACAATATTGTAACATTCCAAATGTATTATAAAAGATCTAAATTTTTAACAAAAAAAATTTTAGAAATAATTTTAATTGCAATTATTAATCATTCTAGGTATTAAAATATTTGATATTTATATTATAAGAATATGAAGATACGAAAATAACTTAAATAATATTTATTTTTTTCAATAAACCAAAAAGATATATATTAATAATATTGTATTTATCTATTATAAATTAAAAATTTAATTGTAATTATTATTATATGACAAATAATCTAATGATTTTAATGATTTATATAATGGCTAAACTATAAAAACATCTGAAATTATTTAAAAAATTAAAATAGATTCAAAAATTAAACTAATAAAATATCCGGAAGAATATAATAAGAAAATATTCGGAGTTTTACTTATAGATTAATTTGTATTTTAATATATCCTATATTAACTGTATTCTCTTATTCTTTTATCATTTATTTATCCATTATTTATTGTTATACAATCCAAATATCAAATTTATATATTTGTCAAATTTTTCTAGATATCAATAATATTATTTGACATTCAAATCTATAATAAAATTAACATATTTTATTATTTGTTATCTATTTTATTTGAAGTTATACACACACACTATATAAGACCAATTTGAACTAATCGTACTTGTTGATAGAACCATCAATTAAAATAATAAATTAAATAATTCAAATGAAGATAAAATAATGAGATTGAACAATAACATTAAAAAGTAAAAATAAATAATCGTCACATCGTATGAGATGTGTGCACGCTATAACATAATAGGTAAGGTATGTTATTATAGTTTTAATATATAATTCTACATGAATTTTTTAAAAATTTATTGTTTTATAATAAAAAATTCAAATTATATAAATGTAAATTTAATATATATATATACTTCAGTATACATACTTCAGCCAACATAAAGTGTGTTAATAAAAATTATTTATTTAATTACTGTTTATTTAGCCCACATATTTTAAGGGATATATTAATATTCAGCATATTCAACATAATTTCATTTTTATGTTCATAAGAATCTATAATTACAGAATATAATTTTGTACTATAAGCACTGAATA